TTGGAGTAACATGGGCTAGTGGAAGGTGTCCCTGCCCAGGGCAGGGGGTGGAATGGGATGATCTTTAAGGTCCCTTCCAACCCAAACTATTCCATGATTAATTCATAATCAACATGCTGACTACAACAGGAAACCCCTGTCCCTGAGTCAGCCCCCAAGGCTTGAAGGCAGAGGGAAGTGGGGGCTCTGGTGTCCCAGCTCCGGGGGGGTGGCCAGGCTGCCCTTGCCTGTGATGGAAGAGCCAGCACAGCCCTTGCCTCGGGTGAGTAACCAAGGAGTAATTCCATGGGAAACCCAGGACCCGAGGCTCCCAAACTGTGCCTCCTCTGTCCTGGTGTTTATCTTTGAAATAGCTGAAGGGTCGGGTTACAAAGCAAATATGAATGAAACGAAAGGAAACACAGCAACAAAGTGGGTCAATCATTTTCCTTTGACCAGATTCCTCTGTGGAGAAAAACTTGGCTTAAAGGCTCCTTTCCCCAGACGTGCTGAGACGAGCCCAAGCGAGGGGAAGCCAATGCTGGGAAAACCCCACAGAGCAGCAGCTTTGAAGCATCTTTGATCTGTTGTTACAGGGTTACATCGGATCTTACTCTGACCCTCAAAACCCCTCGTTAACTGGGGTGAAGGATGCAGGATCAGATTCTGGGAGAGGCTGCAAGTCCCGGAACGAATCCGTTTTCCCAGGAGGAAATTTTCTTGCTGCAAAACGCTTAGCCCACGATGTGCCGGGAGCGGGCAAAGGCCTCCACTGCTCCCTGGGTTTCACGGGGAAATTCAGGACTCGTGGTGGGAGGCACTCGACAAGAGTTTTATTTATAAAGCTGCCAGCGCCTGGTGTAGGTTTACTCACTCTCCCATCTGGTGGCTGTCACTGCCACCTCCTGACAGACGCTCTGTCTCTTGCTGTTAATGACGTGCTTTGATTAGCTGGATCCGCTGCTTCACCCACCTATTGATCGGTCATGGGTTAATAACTGGCTGTGCAAACGTGGGAGCAGCTTTATTGGGCTGATTAAAAAAATAACGGGAGGATCTTATTGACCACAGAAGGTGCTGGGGTGGCAGGGGTGGACCAGATGCCTCCTGCTCCCGGGTGGCCTCGTTGTGTGTAGGGATATAGAGGTCACAGCTTGCCCTTCTCTGTCCTGCCCTTCACTGTCCTCTCCCTTTCAGGCTCAGGATTCTTCTTTCTTCTCTTTCTCTTTCTTCTCTTTCTCTTTCTTCTCTTTCTTTTCTTTCTCTTCTTTCTTCTCAACAAGCAGCTGCTTGTTGAGGACTTGGTGTGGGTTTTGTGCACTGTGGGCTTGGTGTTCCCTCTCCTGAACTCATTTGATTTTGCTATTGCTCTCCTTTATTTGAAATAGAAGAGGAGCCACTTCCATGGCTCGGTCTGTCCTCGTGGCCCCAGTGAAACTGCTGACACCAGTGCAGTAGGAGAGGGTGGTTTCTGAGCAGGACCCTCCATCAGTGCATCTCTGAGGGGCTTCCAGAGCCCCTCGTGGTTTACAGTGAGATTGGTGGCTTGAGGCTGGGGCTGTTTGTCACATCCCAGCCCCGTGGACACACTCCAGGGCCTGGGACTGTGTCCCCCTCGCTGTCCTGGTGGCATGTCAGTCCCTTGGCAGTGCCACACAGGATGGGCTTCTGTCTGTGGCTGCCCAAAAGCAGTGACTGGGCCTCGGGAGGTCGCTCCAGGCTCTGCCGTTGGCTCCCGGAATGGCTCTGGGCATTTTCCTTCATCTCTTCCCCAGGGCACACTCCCTGCTTTTTGTAGGACAGCTGGGTAAGAGGGATGGATGTCAAAAAACACGTGTTCTTTACTTAGAAAACAGGGATTATCAGTGGAGAGCAGGCTGTGCTTTTTATGTCCGTGAATTAAATGTCCTGATTTCCCACTGTGCTCCAGCTGAAGGAATGTTCACTGGATTTTGCTGGATGCTGGGCAGCTCAAGAGTGGATCTCTGTTAGCCTTGTTTTTATTGGATTCTGGAATGAACGTGGAAATAGGAGTTAATTTGTTACCGTCAGGATGACCTCTACTCTTTTTAGACTGGTTTCCCCTCCCCTGATGCTCTGTGTGCTGTGGCAGTGGTTACGTCTCTCATCTTCCTGGGATGTGGTTGTAGATGGAGGTGCTGGGGCACCAGCAGCTGCCCACTTGTTGGAGTGGCCCTTTGTCACCTCGGGAATGCTCTTGGGACAGACCTTCCACTAGCCCAGGTTGCTCCAAGCCCCTTCCAACCTGGCCTTGGACACTTCCAGGGATGGGGCAGCCACAGCTTCTCTGGGCACCCTGTGCCAGGGCCTCACCACCCTCAGAGAGGAGAATTGCTTCCTAAAATCCAATCTAAACCTACTCATCTTTCCTCACCTTGAATACTGAGGCAGTTTTGGCCATAATATAAGAAGGATATTAAGCTCTTAGAGAGTGTCCAAAGAAGGGCAACAAAGATGGTGAAGGGCCTTGAGGAGCAGCTGAGGGCACTTGGTGTGTCCAGCTGGAGAAGAGGAGACTGAGGGGAGACCTTACTGCAGTTCCAACCTCCTTGGGAGGGGCAGAGGAGGGGCAGGGACTGAGCTCTGCTCTCTGGGGACCAGGGACAGGACCCAAGGAATGGCCTGAACTTGTGTCAGGGGAGGTTTAGGTTGGATCTCAGAGAAAGGTTCTTCCCCCAGAGGGTAGTCGGGCACTGACCAGGCTCCCCAGGGCAGTGGGCACGGCACCAAGGCTGACAGAGCCCAAGGAGCCTTTGGATGGTCTTCTGGGACACATGGTGTGACCCTTGGGGATGGTCCTGTGCAGGGCTGAGAGTTGGGCTCGGTGATCCTTGTGGGTCCCTTCCAACTCGGCATATTCTGCGATTCCTGTTGTCACTGGTGGTGGGGGGGTGGACCGGGAACACCGCGACCTGTTGCCATCCCACCGCGGGCTCCGGTGGACCGGGAGCCCAGGCGGCGGCGGGGCCGGGGGTGTCTCCCGTACCCTCGGGACAAGCTCCCCCCCGGGCAGCGGCGGGGCCGGGGGTGTCTCCCGTACCCTCGGGACAAGCTCCCCCCCCGGGCAGCGGCGGGGCCGGTCGGGCGGGCGCAGGCTCAGCCCCGGGGGCCGCCCCGCCCCGTCCCTCCCCCGGCGGCCGGGGCGCTGACATCAGAGCCGGCCCGGCGGGGAGGAGGAGGCGGCGGCGGAGGAGGAGGAGGAGCCGCCGCCGCACCGGAGCCATCGCTCTTGCCGGGGCCGGGGCGCACCGGCGGGGGGCGGCGGCGGCAGCGCTGCTGCTGCTGCTGCTTCACCCCCCGCACCCCCCGGCCCATCCCGCGCGGCCCGCGGGGCCCCGCCGCCCTCCCGCCGCCCTCCCCGTAGCCCCGCGGTGCCCGCGCCGTGCCCGCCATGCTCTCCGGGGCTCCGCCGCCGCCGCCCGCCGGCTTCCCCAGCCCGCCGCCGCCGCAGCCGCCGCCGCCGCCGCCGCCCGCCGCTCCCCCGCACGGGCCGCCGCCGCCGCCGCCGTTCCTGCCGGGGAAGGGCGGCCTGCAGATCCGGAAGAATGCCATCACGGACGACTACAAGGTCACCACGCAAGTGCTGGGGCTCGGCATCAACGGGAAAGTTTTGGAGATCTTCAGTAAGAAGAGCGGCGAGAAGTTCGCGCTCAAGGTGCGGAGGGACCCCCCCCGCCCCGTCCCGGCGCGCCGGGGATGGGGAGGGAGGGAGGGACGTGGGGACCGGGCGGGCGCTCGGCCGGGAGGGGCCCGGGGAGCGGCGGCGGCGCCGCTGACAGTGATGGAAGGTGTCTGCTGCGGGGGAAGGGGGTCCCGGGGGGGCCGCTTGGCGGCAGCGGGGCCGGCCGGACAATGAGCTGCCGCCCGCCCCTCCGGCCGCGCTTTAATCTCATCTTCCCCCCCCCTCTCCCCCTATTGCGAGCAGCGAGACGTTGGTTTCCAGCTTTTCTAGTGTGGAAAACGAAGCGAAATGACATCTTTGGTGGCACGACGGGGAGAGGTGTGTGGGGGGGTCTGGAGTGGAGAGGAGCCCCTGGCCTGGCTGGAATCCCCTCCGTGGGATGCGCAGCTCGGGTCCGCACCTCGAAATGTGGGGTCTGCATCGTGGAACTGGGGTTCCCTCCGTGGGGCTGTTCATAGCGTGTCCTGTAAGCACAGGAGCTGCCCGCTGTCCCCGTTTGATGGCAGGTCTCTCCTGGCTGTAACACCGAGTGACTGTCGTCCCCCCCTTCACACAGGGAATATTTCAGCGTTATGATGTTGCCCTTTGCCCCTAACTCGCTTCTCTTTGAAAGACACGGATAAACAGTGGCTGAAAAGCTGCGTTTTAGGTGATGCAACCCTCTCCTCGTTTCCACACGAGGTTCTTTGAGGAAAGAGAAGAGCGTGTCTCTCTGCAGGAGAGACTTTGGGAAGTTTGAATGGATTCACGACGCGCTGGGTGACGCGGGTACAGGCAGTCTGCTCGGCGGGAGCGCCGTGTTCTCCAGCATCCCTGCAATTTGCGCCCACACATGAGCTGTTCAAACCCTTGGCGTTACCCTGAGAACTGGGAAGGCTGAAAAAACCCCACCTAAACCCGTAACATCCCCCCCTTTTGTGTTTAGCGGTGCCCCTCTGTTGGTGTCCGGGGTTCCTAACCTGAGTGAGTGAGTGAACACGGGGCTTTGGAGGCACAAGTTGTGCTGCAGGGGTGGTGGGGTCAGCACAGGATGGTGCTGAGCACCTGTGGTTTAAGAGTGGGGGGCAGTTGGATAAGTTTGACTCTTCTGTCAGAAACGCCAGCATTTGTCACGAGCATTGTACTCCAGGGCGACATGTATTGTCATCTTGTTGGGTTGGAAATTAGCGAAATCTTCTTCTGTTTTGACAGACGGGCTCCTCCTCGCCTCTGAAGTTGACTCATGTGTTTAAAGCACAGATCCCAGCACTTCCCTTTTGCAGCCCTGAAAGGGGAAGGATGGCACAGCAGACCGAGCGCCGGCAGTTCCTCTGCCCAGGGGCCCGGCACTGGTGCTGTCACCCTGCCTGTGCCAGAGCAGAGATTGGGTCAGAATTTGCTGCCACAAGTTCCTTGGCCTTGTTGAGAGGCGTCCTGGAGGGCAGGACTCCTTGCTGTGATGTAGGAGGGTGACACGGAGCATCTGCGCAGCTCTCCGGGGGTGAGGCATATTTGACACCGAATCTCTTTCAGGAAAAGGGATTGTCTTCCCTGTCCCCTGCCCCGGCCTCTTCTCACGTCCCTGACGGGGAGGGACAAGTTCAGCTGAGTGGTTGGACGTGTCCCTGGCTTCTCAAAGAGCAGCACAGCTGCTACTGTAAGTGATTCCTTCCAGCACCTTAAAAACTCCTACGCTGTGAGTTTGGGCGCTGGGACGAGCCGGTGGGTACCCGGTTTGTCCTCGTGAGGGTGAGCTGCACACTTGAGTTATTCAATTGTATTATTTAGACCGAGCTGCCAAGCCCAAACTTGGTGTGGGTGACTGCCCTAGACATGATGTGTGCTGACTTCATCCCCTCCTCTGGTACGCAGGCAGGATGATGTCTCTGCAAGAGACCTGTGGAGAGGTATTCGGGTCCAAATTACTCATGGGCTGCATCAGAGTGGAAAGATGACCTAAAGCAGGATCCACAGAAGTGATTGCATCGAGTTGTCGTGTTTCAGATGATGCTTAAAAGAATCCTGATGGCCCATTGCCAGGAGCCACAGCTGAAATCTGTCTGCTGCCTGCTTTGGTTGTGCAGTGAACCTTTCCATTTGGAACGTCAACTCTTTACGTTTAATATTTCAAAGTCTTGTATAACACTGGAATCCTCCACTGGAGGATGAGACACAATTTTGTCTCTCCCTGATGTTAGTGGTGTCTTCTGGTTGTGTTGTGCTTCCTCTTGGGTCACAAGCAACTGTTATATTGTTAAACCTCCTTCTCCCAAACTGAGAGATGCACTTAGGTAAGGGTTTTGCTGAGAGTCACTTTGCTTAAGAGGACTTTTCAGTGCTTCAGGAAAGCTGAAGAGAGCTTGGAGACAGTGTTCTAGCAGCAGTGAAAACGTTAAGGCCAATTTTCTTCTCCTTCCAGTGCAATAGTCCGTGGCAGAGATGCATCATTAAATAAAATGATGCTGTGTGTGAGTTAATGGATGGCACTTCTGCTTTCTGTGCAGTCCCCAGGTGAAAACGAGAGATTCCTTTATTTTTCTTATAGATTATTGCTAATTTTTCAGTTTCCCGCCCCCTCAATTTTATTTTATTTTATGGTACCAAGCAATTCCTGAAGTGTGGCATCCCTGAATTATCTGCTGTGAAGCAGCCACGGATGGTCCCAGTCACCCATGACCTGACCCTGGGTGATGCACGATGATCTGCTGCAGGGTGGGAACATAAAGCCCGTGGAGAAGTGATGAATGGAACTGAAACGTGAGGTCTGGGTGATTCCTTACCCCTTTTTTCCTTGTACCTCGGTGTGATTTATTATTAGGCAAAATTAGGCTTGTAATTTCTGTAGAGGCTGCTGGATGTAGGTCACTGCTGGCCTGACTTGGCGAGGTTCGCTGTGGCCAGGCTGCAGTGGTGGGGCTGGGAGTGAGGGCTGTCTCGCCTGCTGCAAATTCCACTTTTAAGACTAATCTTTAGGCAAGATGCCGAGTTGGTGGCTGGCTGCCTTAATTCAGCGAGGAAATCACAGGTAAGCCAGGCTGGAGAGTGAGGAGTACTACTGGCAGCTCGGTGGGGCATTTCATGGAGCAGGTTGCCTTTAAAACAAATGAACAAACCTCACTCCTGACCTCAACTTCAAAGCAGGAGATCCTCCCCTGGGTTGGTGAGCTTTGGAAGGGCTGGAAGAGCTTCTCAGGGCTCGTGAATTTGCCCCTCTCTGGCAGCCCCGTTTCTGGAGCATCCTCGGCGCTTTGGGGCACGTTTGCGAAACACTCTCAGTCTCACTCTCAGCCTCATCAGATAACCTGTGAGTGATGGCTCCTCTGATGGAGAAGGAGGAAGGAGGTTGGTGCTTTCGTGGTTTATCATTCTGGTAAGATGCCTGTGGTGGAATTAGGGCAGGTCTCGGAGCTGATAACTGAGCAGTTCTGTGGCCGAGCGAGCTCATGGAGCTGGTGGCCTCGTGCTCTCTCTCCCACCATGGGGAGAGGTTTCTTACAGAGGTGTTGAGGGGAGCAAAGAGCCCTATTCCCTGCAGCTCTGATTGAGATCAAATGCTTTGTCCCCCAGAAAATCCAGCTGGGAAAATATCCCTGAAGTGAGGGAGTAGATGAAGATCCTGAGCTTATATTCATGGAAAACAGCTCACCGTGTGTTTGCTGTACTTCTGTCCCTCTCTCAGTGGGAAGATTTTTTTTTTTTAATTAACTCTACCATGTATTTAATATAATCAAAAATGTCTTCACTGTGGCCTTCTGTGCAAGCTGTGGTTGAAAAGCTGTGGAAAGTGTGGTGACATCACTGGGACTTTTCCAAAGCAGCGGTTTATTATCTCATTGACCAAAGGAGTCTACTGACTCGGGGTTTGAGTTTGTTTAAAAAATGTAGGATTTGCCATAATCCCTTCTAAATACTTTACATGTTCTGAGCAGTCAGACCTGAGACTGCCATGGGCTGATAACAGCCTGGGAGCAGGGGCTTGCTTTTCACTTTGGTACGTGCTCAGGAAGTGGCGGGGCTCTTCCTCTTAATAATAATCTAATGCCATCAGCCACAGGTCCTGCAAAAGAAGTTTCCCATGTTTTCAGAGGCGGGGAACTGAGATGCAGTGATTTACTGAAGGTCTTGCAGCCCGTCAGAGGCGACACCGGGCTGAGGAGCTGAGCTGCTGGTGTCCTGCTGGACACAGATACAGCCCCTGCGTGTATGTGATTTAGTAGCCAAGTACAGCCAGGTAAAAGGATGATTTTTGTCATTCACATTGAACTCCCATTTGTGCTGTCAGGAAAGCCAGGTGTATAGGACAGCACTGGCCTGTGGGGCTGTGGAGGTGATGGCTCTGCCTCAGGTAGCGACCGGCACAAAGCAGGCACTGGGAGTTATCAGACACGTGCTCCAGAGCATTCAAAACAGTGGATAAAGAATAATTTGAAGCTGTGCAGACTGGGAGCCAGGTCTCCTAGCATGCTTGGTGGACAATGGGTAGGCACAGGTGATGAAAACTCCCAGAAATTTCCTGCCGAGGAAGCCTGAAAGAGCGGGTTGATGACCTCTGTCTTCCCAGAAACATCCAGGATGTGCTCTGGTATCTGATGAGATGGATGAACTCTTGATGGCTGGAAGGGTGGTGCAGGTATGTGGGAGGCATCCAGAGGAGTGGCTGGGTTGGAAGTGGCTGTTTGGCCATCCCTGTGGCACGGACAGCAGTGTGACTTTGAGTTTACAATCTGGCATCTCCTGAGCCTTCCTGGTGGGCTCGCGTGCCCCATACCAGGGTGGTCTAAGGGCTTTACAGCAGAGACAGCAGCTAATGCTGTTTTCCAACCCATCCTTTTGCTGTGGTTTTCACTGTCTGCTGAGAAGCTGAGAGGAAAGAGCCCTCCTTCATTAAGAAACCCTTTCCTCCTCCTAGCTCCGACCATAACCGGCTCCCCGACCTGCAGGCGGCCCTCGCTGCAGAAGTCAGGCTCCTCTCCAAGCACAACTGGCCCCGCGCGTCTGGCCTCAAGTTGCAGCATTCAGGCAGCATGACCTCACCTCCTGGTTTCCAAGAATAACGTGCTGCCTCCCCTGTGCCGCGCCGGGACTGTCTGCAGTGGGTGAGGGCGGCTGCCACGGCCCGGCACCGGCCAACTCGAGGGGTTTGGCTCTTGCCAGATGCCCCCAGGCAGCCCCACGCCCGCCCCGGGCTGCTCAGCTCCTCTGCCCTTTGTGGAGGAGCTGGGATAGGGCTGGTTTTGGAGGCTGGAGAGTTTGGAGGGGGTGGATCTGTGAGGAGCAGGGTGATCCTTCCACCAGCTCCAGAGGCTGGCATGTGAACAGGGCTTTGCCTGACCGCTCCCCAAAAAAACCTGTTTCAGGCTGAGCAGTCACATTGAGTCAGCCTTTCAGTGTGGTCCAGAGCTGCTGAGCATCCTGGTCATCTCTGGTTGGGACGTTGATTTTAAAAGCCCCAGAGACCTGTATCCCACTGAAAGTGGGTCCCGTCCCCTCCGTGGATGTCCCTCATCCTTCGTGACTGCAAAATGCTAAAAGCAGCCTGGTCCAGTGGGAGGTGTCCCTGCCCACAGCGGGGAGGTCGGAATGAGACGACCCTCAAGGTCCCTTCCGACCAAACCATTCTGTGATTGTCTTATTCTGTGGAAATGTGCTCTCCTTTCAGCTGCCCTGGCACGAGGACTGTGTGCATGACTGGTGCCTGGAGGCTCATTTTGGAGAGGGCTCTCACGTCCAGGCCGTGTCCCTGCGGAGGTGGATGGGGAGCAGCACGCGGGGGCCGGAGCGGGGCACGCAAGAGCAAGTCTGAATGCACAGAGCTCTTCTAACAGCCTTTTAAACTGTTCTTCCTTTGTACCTGGTGGCTGAGTCATTTCAAAGATTTCAGCCTTTTAAGATCTTACCAGTTTGAGGCAGGGATTACAGCGCCTGGCAGGTTTAATGGTTGCATTAACTCGCTGTTCCCTTTGTGGCCTCGGGAAGGGACTAACGGCCACGAGTCCCTGAGTGCTGGTAGATCCCCCTGACCTGAGATGACCCGAAACACAAGTTTTGCTGGAGATGCTGTGAGCCACAAAAGTGTCCTTTGGAGAGCGGTGGGGTGATACCTGCTGTTGGACAGGAGGTACAGGATGAGGGTACCAGTGTGGCTGCTCTCTGGGCACTGCTGGGAGCACGTGGAGCACCACTGTGGCTCCGTGTTCAGTGTGATGCTGCCCAGGAGGATGATGGCATTTTCCCACAGATTAGAGCCTTATATCAGTGGCCTGCCTCGCTGTGACAAAGTGCACTGTCCCAGTGGAGAGGGCAGGTGAGCTCCCTGGCTCAGGCAGCCTGCAGCTGGCACAGCCTTGGCCCTCCTATGTAATGAGATTATTCAAGCTGCTGGCGTCAGGGCTGCATGTGATTCTGTCTGTGCCTGGCTGTCCTGCGAGCCGTAGCCTAAACTAGAGATAAAGTTCAAAATGCAAACCCAGATCTGAATGTTCCTGGGGCGCCCAGCCAGGCTGGGACTTTGCTGCTCTGCTCTTGCTATCCTTATCCAGTTTGGTCTCTAGATTTGGGGATCAGTGGAAGGCTGGATTAATTTTCCTTTGTCATCATAATTAAGTTTGCTGCCTTGCTTTGTGCCCTTGGCTGCGGGCAGATCCCCTGGGCGCCCCTCTTGAGTTCAACCTCTCTTTGCTGGCCCCAGAAGAAGGGGGTCAGTCAGATTTGGGGTCATCATTGCTACACCTCTCATGATGCATCAGGCTAAATCTGTGTAACAGCAGGCTGGGACTCTGTGCTGTCCCTTTCCAAAGGCCTACAGCACCTCTGGGGTTGGGAGCATCCTCTGCTGAGCGTTTGGAACCGGAGCAGCCGCTGTCTCCATCCTCTGCCCTCCTGGCGTCCTCCGGCCGTGGTACGCGGCACCGAGCTGGGGCAGCCTCTCGAAAGGCTCCTTGGATGTCCTGCCAAGTGTGTGTGTTTTCAGGGAAATGTGGCTGGAACACAAGCTGGGGCTGCTGAGGAAATTTGGCAGCGCGTGCCGTCGGGCTGCAGTTCCAGTAGCTGCAGCTCCTCGCCTCTCGCGCCCGTAGGTGCGGGTGGGAGCCCGGTCCAAGTTGGCCTTGCTTGGAAATGGGATTGGAATCCTGAGTACCCCAGCGGGGCTGGGGGGCAAAGCAGATGCAATCAGATCCAAACAAATCAGAAAGTATGTGTGTTGTCCTCAGCCTAATTTAACGAAACTAGTAAATAAAACAAAGGAGTGGGGGGTGGTGGGGGTGGTGTTCTGGTAACAGGGATGTGGTTTTAATTTCAGCAGTAATGACAGCCTTATGGCATCCACCAGCTCAGTGTTTAGAAACAATTTAAACTTATATTTCCACTTGTTTTAGCAAACAGGCAGGGGCTGTGCTTGCTCACAGGTGCCACTGTGGGTGTCAGCGACCTGTCACCACAGAGCGCTGGCTCCCACAGCCCTGCAGTTCCTGTGGCCGCTGCTTTTGGGTGCAGCCAGGCTGTGGGAGCCACTGTCACCTGTAACAGCCTCCTCTGGCCAGCCCTGTCCCCTCGAGGCTCTCTTCCTCTTGGGCCATTTCTGCCGTGTTGGACAGATGAGAAAACCTGGGCGGCTCTTGCGTAAGCGGCTCCGCCGGGTGCTGGGAAGGCCGGGCTTGCCAGGAAGTTTAAACTCAGATTACCTCCTGCAAGTCATCAGAGCTGTGAGTTTTGGCATTTTTGGGTGGGTGCCTCCTGTGCCGCAGGCAGAGCAGCCCTGGCACGGGGACACGGCTGTTTTGGGGAGCCTGGAGGTGTTGCAGCCCTTGGCTGGACACCTTCCTGAGCTTCTGGAGAGGACATCAACCCCTTTGCTGGCCCAGGAGCTTGGAAGAGGCTTGTGGAGGCTTTTGCTTTTGTCCTCAAGTGCTTTTCCCTGCAAGGAAGGACCCTGTTTGTGGGATGAGGAGCTGTGTGTTTGTGTTGGAGCAGGATGTTCACATCTCCATCTCCTTCCCCACCCTGCTTATTCCACTTTGGAGTTGAAACTCCCGGTATCTTTTGTTCTAAGGAAGAGCTGCTGTAAAGAGCAACCCTCTGCCAGGACGTGAGATGCCCCGTGGGTGGTGGGATTCAGCAGGGAAGTGCTCCAGGTCCTCGGGGGTCTGTGGAAGTGTCCTGGTGCTCTGATTCCCCAGCTCCCTGCTGCTGGAGGAGACAGGCAGCCTGGCGTGTCGTTAGGGATGCAAATGCTGGGCTGATGAAGTCTGGGTGAGTAAGGTGCTGAGGAGGTTCTGAACGGATTAAAATGTGGTCTTTGGGTGCTGCTGAGCAGCAGCTCCGGCGCCTCCCGGGCGCCAGCAGGGCAGGAGGGTTGGGAGCTGGAACTGTTTCCTGGGAGCTTCGGAGCAGGTCTAAGGCTTATGCCCTCTGCCACAGTCTGGAGAATTCATGGAAGATGATGGTCTCTGTGTGCCTCAGTGCAGTGCTTTGGGGTGATATTCCCATTTCTGGGCCTCAACTCGAGGAGCTGCAGGGCAGGGAGGGCTCTGGCCCTACAGGATCCAGCTAATGAGAGCAAGGAGGGGGTTTTGGCTGCTCTTGGTGTAGCCCGTTAACTCAGTTTTGCTGGGCTCTGGCAGCCAGGGCAGCCTGTCCTTGGCAGGTCGAACACCTCTGGCTTTAACCAAAACATTTTTTTCGTGTTTCTTTCTCCTCAGAGATTGCACTGAAACAACAAGGCGAATGTCACCAAAGGAGGGTTGGCCTGGGACGTGGTGGTGATGCTTTGAGGGTTTTAGTGACTTAACTCCTAACCAGCACTGAACATCTGGATCTTATCCTCCTCAGATCTTACCCGCCTCAAATCCAAACCCTCCCAGCAGCTCTGGAAAAAGCCTTAACCTCCATTGTGTGAGATATGGGGGTAACACAGTGTGGGTGCTGTTCCTACCGGCCATGGGAGGCTTAACTTCTCTCTCTCACTTAGGAAACGGAAGCTCTGCTGACTCGAGGTGTTGCTCCAGGCTTTGTGGGGCCACAGGGGGCAATGCCAGCCCTGCTGCTTCCCGGAGAGCTCCAGGCTGCTGCAGGGGTTGTGTGGGGAAACGTGGGGGCTGCCGGAGCCCTCGGGTGGGCGGGCGGGCGGCCGAGCCGCACAAAGGCTGCCCTGTCTGCTCTTTGGCTTCCCCCAGCCCTAAGCTCTTTTCGTGAATAAGTGGGATTGAAAAAGCTTAAATTCATACAAAGCAGGATCCAGGAGCCCCCGGCCGACCCGGAGAGAGCAGCTGCCCCCTGCTCACCCTGTGCCCCTGGGGCTGCCTCTGCTCCTGGGGGTCCTGGTTAGTGCTGCCCTGGGATGAGGTGGTGTCTCTAAGGGCTGTCTGTTGGGAGAGGTTTCCTTTTAAAAACTGGTTATGGGAATGTCCAAGAAGAACAGCCTGGTCTGCCAGGAGAGCAGCAGTAGCTGCAGGAGTAGATTTTTTTTGGTAGTTTGTTTAAATATCCCTGTGTTTATCCTTTTATCCCCTTTCCGGTTCAGTCTAACAGGCAAAAGGAGTCCAAACCACTTGCTGCCTATTGTAGTTGGTAAGAAATCAAGTAGCCTGCTGGTAAACTCTGTCGAGCAGTGGATTACTGGACATCCATGGGAGGATCAGCCAGTCTTTCCCACGTGTTTTCCACGTGTGTTTTTGCTGTAGAATGAAAAGATGCAAGAGCACAAAACCTCTGCTGTCAACCCAGGCTGGATCAGGTTGGATGGGGCTCTGAAAAACCTGGTCTAGTGGAAGGTGTCCCTGCCCATGGCAGGGGGTTGGAAAAAAATGAGCTCTAAGGTCCTTTCTAACCCAAACCATTCCATGATTCTATGACCCCTCACTCTGTGCCGTTGTCCTTCGGGCAGGACGTGTTCGTGGCAGAGACCGGCCTTTCCCTCTTGGTAACGCTGACAGGAGGGAGTTTCCCCCCCGTGGTATTTTTGGAAGTTTGTGCACCCAGGCGCTTCGTGACGATTTTTGCACGCTTGCTGGCTGAGGTATTTTGAGGTTATGGTGCTGACTGGGACATTGGTGGTCCGGGCTCTGTCCCAGCTTCACCAAACCTCCCCAGCTCCGGGGCCGCGCGGCTGCTGCCGACAGGTGCCAGGGAGGATCTCGGGGCTGCCAAAAGCCTGGAGGGAGCTAAGAATAGCCCCCCTGTCCTGAGAGCTTTAATGTGGTGCCAGCAGGATGCAGAGAAGGGCTTTTTTTAAAAATAGAAACACAACTGTGTTTTCCTGCTGGCTGAAGGAGTCTCGGGATGGCTGCTGTGGTGGGAAGAGGGGCTGCTGGAGGAGGAGTGCCCTGCTCGGCCTTGTGGGGTGGCAGGAGGCTCTTGGATTTTCATAGCGTTGCTTCAGAGTCCAGGATTTCCCCTAAAATACTGCAGTGGTGGGTGATGTGACCTTAGATAGTGTTGAGTCTCAAGTCTGAAGTGTTGCTCGGCTCTTAACCCAGACGGGTTCCTCCAGCTCTTCTGCAGGTCCTGTTGAACACTGGGGCTGTGTGATGGAAGGAAGGGGAGGAGGAGAGCAGCCTGTGGGGCAAGGACAGCCTGGCTTGGACAGGGGGACTGCAGTGAGAGCCATGAGCAGCCCTGGCTCTCGGTGAACAGCTCTGCTTTGGTGGGTGCTTGGGGGAGATGGTGAAGGAGAAGGGGGGGGAATGCCTGCCCCTAAACAGCTCTTAATCATC